AGATATCATAGAATGAGACAGAAATTACATTACACTAATGCAAGCACATTAAACAGCGTTTAACATTTAAAGTAGAGATTTCGGCTCAATGAATGGAAAAATCTAAAATGAATCATCAATTATATACAGTTACAATATGACTCAACATTTTTTCTAGTGTGCAACTATGCTGTCATTCACACTTCCGTTAGCGCACTCAAGACAGTCACAGGAACAGAATTCAGTGCATGGCAATCCAGCTGGAAAACAAGGACATTTCTTCTGTTGACTGCATTTTTTGTCCTTGCAGTAGAGATTTGTTAAATCTCGCACTTTTTGCGGTGCTGCTGCTTTTTCATACATCACTGGTTGCATGACTCCCTCCATCAACCTCCAACCTTTCCCCACAGGACTCCAAAGCACTGTTTTTTTTTGGTGACTGTGGCACCAAACAGCAGTTTGGTACATGGCTCTTAGTACGTGTTGCCTAAATGAATCTTCAGTCGGGGGAAGTTGAGAGGCAGGCATGTCTGAGGTGGATGCCAGTACATACCTCAACTCATCCAGGCTTGTACACTGTTGCCCTTTCTGATTCTTCTTCTGGCCATACAAAATGAGTGCATAATGTCGGGCCATAGGTAATGAGTCCGCCAAGTTTCCTGTCAAACCAAAGTGACTTAGACCGTTCAGCTCATCCACATGCTTCTGCATTTTTGTGAAAGCAGTTGATTTTCCAATTTTGAAAAAGCTGCTCGTTGTATCACACCCTGTCAGTGCATGGCAAGCTGGGAGGCACTGGCATAAGGCTTTCCCTAGCTTTTCACAGATCATTTTGATGGGCACAAACCTCTCTTTGCCTGTTTTGCCTTTGTGCATCAGGACTAAAGCTGAGCCAAACATGCTGCAACTTGCATAATACAACAGTAACACAAGGACATCGGTAAGGCAAGGCAAGGCAAGGCAAGGCAAGGCAAGGCAAGTTTATTTATATAGCACCTTTCAACACAAGGCAATTCAAAGTGCTTTACAAAAATGGAAGACATTAAGAAAATGGCATTTAAAATCAGTCATTAAAAAGAAAAGATAATAAAATAAACATTAAAAGAAAAAATACATGGATAAAAGTTACAGTGCAGTTTAAGATGTGAATAGTTCAATTAAAAGCAGCGGCAAAAAGAAAAGTCTTCAGCCTGGATTTAAAAGTAGTAAGAGTTGCAGCGGACCTGCAGGTTTCTGGGAGTTTGTTCCAGATATTTGGAGCATAATAACTGAACGCTGCTTTACCATGTTTAGTTCTGACTCTGGGGACAGAAAGCTGACCAGTCCCTGAAGACCTGAGAGTTCTGGATGGTTCATAATTTAGCAGTAGGTCAGACATGTATTTTGGACCTAAACCATTCAAAGCTTTATAAACCAGCAACAATATTTTGAAATCTATTCTTTGACACACAGGAAGCCAGTGTAAGGACTTCAGAACAGGAGTGATGTGATCCACTTTCTTAGTGTTAGTGAGGACTCGAGCAGCGGCGTTCTGAATTAGCTGCAGCTTTCTAATAGATTTTTTAGTGAGACCTGTAAAGACACCATTGCAGTAGTCGAGTCTACTGAAGATAAAAGCATGGACAAGTTTTTCCAAATCCTGCTGTGACATTAGTCTTTTAATCCTAGATATGTTCTTTAGGTGATAGTAGGCTGATTTAGTAACTGTTTTAATGTGACTGTTGAAACTCAGGTCAGAGTCCATGACTACACCTAGATTTCTGGCTTTATCTGTTGTTTTGAATATTGCACACTGAAGCTCAGCACTAACTTTTATACGTTCTGCCTTGGCTCCAAAAACCATTACCTCAGTTTTATCTTTGTTTAATTGGAGAAAGTTCTGACACATCCAGTCATTGATTTGTTCAATGCACTTACTCAGTGTTTGAATTGGAGCATAATCTCCTGGTGAAATTGTTACGTAAAATTTGTGTGTCATCCGCATAGCTATGGTAACTTATTTTGTTGTTTTTCATTATCTGAGCCAGTGGTAGCATGTAGATGTTAAAGAGAAGAGGCCCCAAGATGGAGCCTTGAGGTATCCCACATGTCATATTTGTCAACTCAGATGTGTATTTACCTATAGAAACAAAGTTTTTTCTGTCCTTTAAGTAGGACATCACATTTGATGATAACTCTTTTGTATGTCTTTGCAAGGTGGATGGCATGTAGCACTATTCTGGTGTCTGCCTCTTCTTGGTCGCTCATCAAATCCACTAAGCTCTCCACCCTGTCCTTTAGGATGGTTTTGGTTTCTTCTGTATCTTCAAAACCTCCAGCCAAGAATCTATCCGGACAGAAGTGACCCCTGCCAGTTGGAGATCCCAAGATCGGAAGTGAAACATGGAACGTCCTACATCCCTGCTCAGTTTCCCTCTGTAAAATTCTCTCAAAATGCTCAAATGTAATCTACCTTCCCTTGTAAATGTTCAACCAGAGCAGCGGTTCCCAACCTGTGGGCCGCGTCCCCCTAGTGGTCCACAAAGGCATTGCAAGTGGGCTGCCAAATAATCTTTTTTTTTTATTTTTTTTATTTTGTACAGGCTAAAGACACAAACATTGACATAACAATAACATATGACATTCAACCCTGTCTCCTAAAAATTACGTTCCCACAGAACTAAACTGCATTCTCAATTACGTTTAGCAAGAAACGTATTTTCTCCCACGTTACGTTTGTTATGAACGTATCTCAAATACATTTATTTTCTACATATCTTCTAGAAACATATTTTCTCCCACATTACGTTTGTTATGAATGTATCTCAAATACGTTTATTTTCTACATATCTTTACCATTTATTGTCTTGCTTATAATAATAATAATAGTCATTTATAAATATCATTTTAGAGCACACATTTGAAATCAACGATCGGGCTCGATATATGGTTAAATTAAAATCAGTAGGCGAGGCTGTCATTTCGCCAGCTCTCATGAGCGAGGCAGAAAATAATAGTTTTAACATGCCAAAAAGCTGCTGTGTCGTTTATTGCACCTCAAACATTAAAACAAATCCAGAGTTACATGTTTCTGTAAGAAAGGACAGTAACAGAAGAGCTCTGTGGCTTCAGGCTTGATCGCCGTTCAAATGACAGCGTTGGTTTCCCCAAAAGTGGGTGGGGCTGTAAAGTGACGTAGATTCTTTCAACATTTGAGTTTTGCTTGTTAGCAAATGTTTAATTTGCTTATAAGCACTAAACACAAAGAGAAGAAGCTGATTGGAATGTCAGTAACCATGGTATTAGATTGCCTTAGAAACACCTAAATGATTAAAATTCCTCTTGAGTAAAACATGTCAGTCAGTGTATCTGAGGCGCCGTTTACACGAGGACAAAACTGCTTGTATCTGCATAGTTTCGCGTGCGTATAGCCCTATTATTTACACGAGGCCGATAGAAACGGACCCCACAAACGATAACGGGTCCCAAGGTGGATAGATTTGCAAACGAAACGCTCTGGGGGCTCAACCGAGTCCGTGTAATCACCTCGATACGAATATTTCCTGAAAAAAGAATGATAGCCCCACCTCTCCCCGCCTCTCCTGCTCACTGCTGGAGCATGGCCAGTAGCCATCTGTAACGATCAACTATCAAAAATAGCTGTGTTAATTAAACGCACAAGGGGCTCTTGAATGAAATAATATTATAAAAGGCAAACCAGAATTGTTAACGCCCAATACACTCCTTAAACAAAATAAACAGAGTCAGATTTCATGCATTGATCCCTTATATTGACAATTTTCCAGCCAAACAACACAAACAAAATTAAACAGTCCGCTCTGCGATACACCAAACTTGTCTTTACTGCCTAATCCAGGCCATTATTGTTCATTGCTCCTGCGCCCGTCGGTGGCAAAAAGAGAAATGTTTGTAGGCAGAGGACCGGCGTGTCCCAGAGGAGCGATCTCACCCGGTGTTTGTAGAGAATATCTCTCTTTCTGAGCGCGTCCTCTCCACGGAGACGTGCTTCTTGGTCGGTCTATGCAATATCCACAGATTCGGTTTCTTTCAGTTAACTTCCCCGTTGCATTTATCCATATGCTGAGGAAATTACTATATCCCGCTGAATACCAGCAATCGCCACACACACTTCCTCCTGTCAGTAGCTACTGCTAGTGCTACTGCTACTGACCATGCTACAGATGTTAGTACAACATCTACAGCTCCTCTACCACAACCATCAGCAACAAGTGGACATGGAGAATTACATTAACTACTACATGTTGCTAAATCCACCGCGGGGCATAAACAGAAGGGTAGCCATGGCAACATTGCTGCGGGGCTGCTCCGGGCTGCTCTTCTTCGCTGCTTTTGGTGTATTTTGGCGGAAGTTACAGCGCCACTTACAGTCCCGGCATATGTACTACAGCGTTTCCAGCGGTCTCGTTTGAACAGACACGTTAAATGAAACGAATGCATGTGAACGGAAGACTTTTTTGAATACGCATACTGTGCATAAACGCAAACGTTCCCGTGTGCACAATGTCTAAAGCCTTTTTTGGGGGTTTGTTCTTCCACAGAAGAATGAAGGAATTCAGTTTTGTGGAAATGATATTATTGGACTTGGCATGATCCAAACTTGGATGGAAAAAAAAAAATGTTTTGCCAAGCTTTGTTCAAAATACACATTTCTTAGTTTGCAATGACTAAAGCGTTATATGAAATAAGTCATTGTCTTGTCTGAACGTGTTGGGTCTCATGTGGAATTACTTGCAGCTGCATGAAAATAAAAAACATAACTGTCTACTAAACTTAACTTTTGTTCACAGTTATACAAAATTAGCTCATCTACCGTGTGTTAAGCTGAATGTAAAAGCAAGTCAAATCAAAGTTCTAAAAAAATACTTTTAGAGATGTCGTGCAGCTAACTTCCAAGCATCTAATGACTAAAGCCTTTGTCACGCCACAAAAACACCCATTTCCGTTGAATGTCAGATTCTTTCTTTTTTCCCTCCTCTGGCTCCACACAAACAACTCTTTAAACCACACCCAAGGAGAGTAAAACGGTCTGGGTCACATCCCCCACCAGCATTTGGATCCAGGCATCAGCCAACCAACGTATAACTCTCATTTACTCAAAGAGCAATAAAGAGACACCATGGAATCAGGCCAGACCCGTGCTGCGGTTCCAACTTACCTGGGATGGTCCATTTTTAACACCCTATGCTGCTGTCTGCCTCTAGGAATTGCTGCCATTGTCTGCTCCTGTAAGGTGAGTTAATTAATTTTCCTGTTTTTTCTATTGTTGGCAGGTTTGTTTTAAATGCTATGATTATTTAAACTTCAGTCAAACTACTTTTTTCTAACAAATGACTTCTGACACTTTTCAAAGGCACAAAATGCCAATGCTGTTGGAGAATCAACTGAAGCTGCAAGTGCATCAAAGACAGCCAAGACCCTAAATATCATCGGACTTGTCCTTGGAATAATTATGATCATCATAATCATCGCGGTCAAAGCCACGATGTGAAGACAACATTGATGAGGACTGTTTTTCCAGCACATGAGTTGGAATTTCAGCAATGCCTTTGTTACTTTAACCTTCCCATCCCCCACACACGGGACCCCCTAAGTAAAAACAGATGTAAGAGAGTGTGAGAGTGTGTGTGTGTGTGTGCGTGTGTGTAAAAAGACAGATTCTACATGTGTTTGTATTTTTATATCTTCTGATCAAGAGCCCATACAGAAATGCCGCGAGTAAAATAAAAATAAAACACTGGAGAACACTGTTTTGTTGTCAATTTAGTTTAGTATCAATTTAAGGGTCAGGTTAGAATTAAAGTCTTGGTTAATCAGTGAAATCTGAAAACCTTTAAAAAAGAAACAGAGTTTTTATATATGATTGAAAATAATAGTACATAGTAAAGTTTATTTCTATAACTGGTGTATTTTTAAACTTTCATATTAACATTCCACAATTGTATGGAAGCATACACGTCCTGAGTTATGTTTAACCAATTTATTTTTTCTCTGTGGCCTTTGTGGGACAAATATTACTTTGCATTCTGATTGTAACACTTCATAGAGTAAACTGTGCCTTGTGACTTGTCGCAATGATCAATAAGTAGATGTCGGGTCATACATTTTGGTAAAGTGACTTCATGATGTGTAACACATATGTGTTTAAACAATATTTTTAATCAAGGAGAATGCTTGCAAAAAGAGTTCTTAAAACATTGAGCACACAGTGGCATGCTTTTTTCTCCGTGGAAGGAAGGAAGTTCTTGTAATGCAAGGATGTTTATTCTGTCTTCTTGGAGATAAATGTTTGTCTGTAAAACATCTGCCAATCCTTAGGTCTTCTTCTCTGTGTGTAAAAACTGCATTTTCTTCATCTCTGAAGTGCTTAAAATAAAGAATAGATGTTTTGTGAGATGTCTTTGTCTTCTTTCATAGAATAATTTCCCTTACACTTCAGAGCTCTTGTCCCTTAAAAGTCCTTCAAGATGGGAGAGCAGTGACGCTTATCTGTGCTTCCTCTGAAGATCCTCCACTTCCTGATGCCATGTTTATGTTTATGTTTATTAAGGATCCCCATTAGCTTTTGCTCTTGACAAAAGCTACTCTTCCTGGGGTCCGACACTTAAAACAATACAACAATAATACAACAATAATACAAAAACATTCAAGACATAACTCCTGACATCATTAACAAAATTAACAACATCACCAATATCATCAACAATTTCCAACATCATCAACAATCTCATCCACTTACAACATCAATCTCAGCCGAGGATGAGTGCACAAGACACCCACCAGTACAAAGCATGAGATCAAATTAAATTAGGGATCACAGCTCACAAGGGTACATGGTCATTAGTAGATGGCCCTTCAATCTCTTCTTGAAAGAGGCTCTGGACTCCATTTCATCAAGGTAGTTTGGCAATAAGTTCCATTCCTTTATAGCTCTATACGTCACAGAATATTTCAGAAGATTGGTCCTGGGTTTAGGTGCCAGTAGATGGCCTGATGTAGCTTGTCTAGTACTGTATGGTCATGCTCGTCTCTTGTATAAACTATTTGATCATAAAAATACAGTGTTTTTTTGCTAAATTGGACATTTTTTTGAAAAGTGATAACACGAGATTGCAGACGTTTCTCAACCGGAAGCCATGATAGGTTTCTATGCATAACTCCAATATGAGTGCGCTTCGAACAGTGGAGAGCTAGTCTGGCAGCCTTGTTTTGAGCTATTTGTAATTTCTGTATATGTGTTTTTGTTGCTGATGACTATGGCCGGACAGTACTCAAGATGTGACAAAACCAGAGACTGACTGACTTGTTTCAAAGTGGTTGGTGTTACATACTTTGTACATTTTCTCGTCACAGCTATGCTCCTTCCCATTTTAGTTACGATACTGTCTATTTGCTTTGTCCACTGTAAACCAGAATCAAGAACAATGCCAAGCAACTTAGTCTCGTTTACCTGTTCCACTGGCTGACCAGCCAGGGTCAGGCTTAATTGAGGATTGCTGCTTAACATATGTCTGGATCCGAACATCATTGCTTTTGTTTTTGCAATGTTGAGTACCAGTTTGTTATTGTTGACCCAGTCTGCTGTGGCTTTAATCTCTATTTTAAGTAGATTGTTTAACTCACTGCATGTTGATGCTGTACTGTACATTGTGGAATCATCAGCATACATTATTACACTGGACTTATTTAATACGTAAGGAAGGTCATTTGTGAATATAGAATACAACAAAGGCCATAATCACAAACAGACACACAAGAGACACACAAGTCAGCCCTTGTTAGTCTCCGACACAGAAAAATTGACAATTGACAATACATGAAAGAGCAATCACTCTGAGAAATCTTAAAGATACATTCTCAACGCTCAGTGGAAAACAATCATAGAGGGAGGTCATATTTTGTTCTTACATTTTCAGAAAGCAATCCTCTGCTTGGTTTGTGAGACCAGAGGCCTGTACTACGAAGCCGGATTTTCGCTTAGCCGGCTGACTTCAGGGAAAACTCGGGCTTTCCGGTCCTACGACGCTGGTTCTCTTTTTAGCGGGCTAGATCTCCATGGTAACTTATGCTGAGCGGCTAACCTCCTCGGGAGGAGGTTAGGTGGCAGGCTAAGAGATCAACTCAGTGAAAGCACCGCCTGCTGACCAATCAGAGCTCCGTGTGCGGAGTTTAAAGCTATCAAGTCATATTACAGGATAGAGGAAATACAGAAAAACTGCCGTTGCAGGAAAGACGGCCGGCAAAAATCACCGACTGTGTGAACGTGAACATTAATAGAATATCCCCTCCCATCTTCAGAGCAATCTGACTATTATAACATTAGCGTTAAGAAAGCTTACTTAAATATCTGCCACGACATAAGTAACCGGATCAGAGTAACATTAAGTACAGTCCGCGGCACTGTGAGTGCAGACGTCGATGTGTCCCATTATCATTCATATCATATCACATCATAATGTATCATATATTTCCTTATTTGAGGAACATGTTGTTTCTTACACGACCACTAGAGGTGCTACACTTAAAAACGTGACTGGGTCGTAATATGCGGCTGAACAATCGACCTATATGGTCGTTTTTTGTAGGAGGACAGGCTGGATTTAGCGGGTCATCTGAATTGAAACAGCAGTTAATTGAACCTGGTTCTCGAGGAGTTAATAGAGGTGAGATCTTGCTGACGTTGGTGGATCTGAGCCAAGCAGTAAACTTGCATAGACTCAATAACTTCTGTTAGGTCAATCAGTAGGTCTGAGTAATTTGCCGGAATAAATTATCAGCCCTCCCGACTCTAACAAAAGGCAGCACAATGCTGTCACTGAATTCTCTCTTTATCTGCCTCTGCTCATGGCTCAAGTCTTTCTTCTGAGGTTATCACAAAAGATGAACCCCATTACAAAACTGCACCACAAGCTAAACTTAATTTCTGGTTTGGCTAGCTAACAGTTTTCACAAATAAAAATAAAAAGTAAAACACTAATGCAAGTAAAAACAAGATAAAAACAAGATATGAAAACATAGAAAGAATGTGGGATAGTTTCTCAGTCAAAGTTATATTTCTCAGGTACTGGAGTCAGACAAGAAATTGTCAAATGTAAAAAAGTGTTTCAACTGTACAGTATGTGAAGATTTAATTTCCACCATAAAACACATTGTTTCTAGCTAATTCTTTGATGTCTCCTTTTAGAGGCACAACATGCTAATACTGTCAGAGAATCAGCTCTAGCTGTGAAAACAAGGAGCCTTCTCAGGACTAAATGCATTGCTGCATGACCTTGAACAAGGTGAATGAGCATCACTGTTCCAGTCAGTTTACGCCAAACTCTAACTCCCCGAATGCAAACATGTGTCTCTTACAGCCCACTGTCATACATAGTTCAGATATTACCATGCACATCTGATTTACGAGCACTACAACTGAGACATGATAAATCTAGGCCGTTACCTGGTGCAGTAAGCTGTGGTGGTCTGTCAGCTGTGCTCACTCAAGGCCGCAACACACCCACCTGAGACCAAAGAACGCGTACCGAAGGCGTCCCGACTTTTACGTCAGCTGCGTCGCCTGCGTCGGCTGCGTCGGCTACGTCGCCCGCAACGCCGCCCGCCTACGAACACACCGCAAATACTTCAGTCGACGAGTGGCAATAACTGTCCTCACCAGCAGGCAGCGGTAGTGTGTATTCGTCATTCAAAAGAGGCAACAACCGGAAGACAGACTGCCTTTTATACACCAAGAGAAGAAGAACAGACTGAGTGATATAAACAAACAAACACAGTAGTAGAGGAACAAACCCCCAAAAAAGGCTTTAGTTATCGAGATACCCCTACCCGAGGTAGAACAAAGCACAACCATGTTTTTTCATTACTTTAATATCTGTAATATATTAAACGGATTGTTGTATACAAATATTTTACTGCAAAATAAAAAATGTTGGTTGATGTATGGAACCTTCCCATAACCGAAAATAGTGAAAATGTAGGCTCCTCTGAAGGGGGCCATGTCAACCTTATCACGTGTACAGTATATCTGGAAATAAGGATCAGAATGTCACCAACTTTGGTTTATATGTTCAGGGTGAGGCAAAGCATACACTAAAGCACATTTTGTACCAATACCTTTGTCCATCTTCATAAAATATACAATCAAACACTGATACAATTTAGGCGGAAATGAAATTTGAAAGGAAAAATCCAAAAGGTATGTTTATACTTTTCTGTCATTATTAAAGTTAGGAGACCAATCCCCAAAAAACCTTATTTATATGTACCAAAGAGTGTTATCTTATGATAAAAGTTGGTTATTTGACTATTAGGGGCTGGTAACCTCTTCTGTCACCAGCCCCTAACAGGTTGCTAGTGCAGCAAGGTCTTCAAACTGACAAATAGAATGGGCCCTATAGGTGTAAATGGATGAACGAAAGGACACAGACCATAGATTAAGGCAAAAAACAAGATTTAATATAATTATTTTTATATAATATATATAATAATAAACCCATCTTTATCATTCTTAATGCATTTATCTTTATATTTAGTTAATCTTTGAATTAACATGGCGATAGGCCTACTGTGAGCCAACAGGCTTGCATTACAGCATTTTCATATGACATAAATGAACATTTTTGACTGAACAAATCAAACATTAGTTAAAATTAAACCATAAATTCAAAATACATACACAGCATTTAGTCAAGATAAACTTAGCTAGCTAAACTTGCCTTGCCTTGCCTTGCCTTGCCTTGCCTTGCCTTGCCTTGCCGATGTCCTTGTGTTACTGTTGTATTATGCAAGTTGCAGCATGTTTGGCTCAGCTTTAGTCCTGATGCACAAAGGCAAAATAGGCAAAGAGAGGTTTGTGCCCATCAAAATGATCTGTGAAAAGCTAGGGAAAGCCTTATGCCAGTGCCTCCCAGCTTGCCATGCACAAACAAGATTTAATATAATTATTTTTATATAATATATATAATAATAAACCCATCTTTATCATTCTTAATGCATTTATCTTTATATTTAGTTAATCTTTGAATTAACATGGCGATAGGCCTACTGTGAGCCAACAGGCTTGCATTACAGCATTTTCATATGACATAAATGAACATTTTTGACTGAACAAATCAAACATTAGTTAAAATTAAACCATAAATTCAAAATACATACACAGCATTTAGTCAAATTTGCTTTTTAAAGTCTATTATTGTTCTTACATTTAAACCAGGTATATCAGGGACGACATTTAGCCTATAGGATTTAGACAACTTTTTATCATTCCTAAAATTTGCCTTAACATTAACATACATTAATGTTAAACATATACATAAACATATAAATCCTACAGAAAAGGAGAGATATCATAGAATGAGACAGAAATTACATTACACTAATGCAAGCACATTAAAC